CCCAGGGACTGTCAGCTGGTCGTTTACCCGCTACGGTTTCATGCGTTCACACGATCTCTAACGACCCTGCTCACACCCAATTGCTCCCGAGCCAGCTCTGCCTGTGCAGTTGGGACTCAGGCACCTAAGGAGGCAGGAGGCCTGTTAACCGAAAGCCTGGCTAGAACACCATGGCGAGGCATCGCTTTGACACTAAAATCCTGTTTCACCAGTTAACCGCTTAACCAGGGCTGGGCGGGGGGAGCTGGAGCACCCCGTGCCCGCAGCGAGCTCCTCCGGGCTGGAGCAGCCCCCTCCCTGCGTCGGGCAGTGAACCGTATCCAGTAAGGTGCTTCCTGTTTGACGCCGGGCTGAAGGGAGGCAGCAGGCTGGGCTGGGTCTGAGCCAGTCTCCAGTGCCCCCCAGGCTGCAGACCGGCCATTCCTCCCATCCAGGCCTGACCTAGTGAAGTCTCCCACGTGTGCCCCGCGACGGCCGTTGGCCGAGGGCTCTGCATTGAAGAAACTCTGATGAGGGACCAGGTATTCCTCAGCATCCACCAGATCCTGCATGTCCTCCTCCTCCAGCAGGGCGCGGTAGAAGGTGCTGTCTATGGGACTGGCCAGCCCCATCTTGTCCTCATTCTGTGGGGGGCAGAGGAGGGGAGGTCAGGGCAGTTCACTTTCGCACGCACGCCGTTGGCCGAGGGCTCTGCATTGAAGAAACTCTGATGAGGGACCAGGTATTCCTCAGCATCCACCAGATCCTGCATGTCCTCCTCCTCCAGCAGGGCGCGGTAGAAGGTGCTGTCTATGGGACTGGCCAGCCCCATCTTGTCCTCATTCTGTGGGGGGCAGAGGAGGGGAGGTCAGGGCAGTTCACTTTCGCACGCACGTTCTACAAAACCTCCAGCCCAACGCCTGGGAAAGGGGGTGGGCAGGACCCTACCGTTGGTCCTCCCTGCCGCCTTCTGCTCCAGGTACACAGCCTGGACCTAGGGGAGGTCGCTTGATTCAAGGTTGGGAGTTATTTTGGGGGCTTCTCTGGCACGTTCCATCATGAGAGCCCCAAGCAGGAGACACGTTTCTCCTCCCATGTGAGCCACAGAGAAGAGACTTGCCAGAGGCCGCACAGTGAACCAGAGTCAGGGACAGAACCCAGGTGTCCTGGCTTGGAGTTTCCTGCTTCAGCTGCCCAGCTGGTAGAGAAGAACCCGAAACCCTGAGGAGCTCAGCGGGGTGGGAGACGCCAGCTCCTGCACTGGCTGGGTTGGGGTGCGAGTCCCTAGCAGGGCCCCCCTGCAGTGGGTCAAAGACCGACTGGTTGTGGGAGCCACGTGGCGGGGAGGGAGATGGCTGCTGCTGAGGCCCCTCGCAGAGCGACGGAGACGCCCCCTGCTCCCTGCCCAGAGCTGCGTAGTGACCCAGCCGCTCCCACGCACCTGGACGACCACGAAGCGCTGCGGGTCCCTCGCCATGCGGGAGAACTCCGTGACCAGCTCCCGGAACCGGGGGCGACACTCCGAGTCGATCATCCAACCTTCGGGCAGAAAGCACTCACCGCAGCAGCAGGAAGCAAAGCGACCCGGCCCACTGCGCTCCCCTCAGCCCGGTTCCCGGCCACCTCACTTGGGAACGGAGTGGGCTGAGGCAGCGTCAGCTGCTTCCCATGGCTCCCACCCCCTGCTGCTGCTGCCCGGACCCCCACTCCTCTCCCAGGCCGTCCTGGCTCCGCAGGCCCCCCAAAGCAGGGGCAGCTGCCCCAAACCGTCCAGCGGATGGGACAGCGCTGCAAACACACCCCATCCTCCAGCCCTGGGAGAACAGAGCTGGCTGTTGCCTGCCCCAGAGGTTAGGCCCTGGGGTCTTTACCTGGCAAATTCCCCCTCGGGCCTCAGTCATGCCGTGGACGGGGAGCCCCACCCGCCGAGGCCCGGAGCCCGAACGTGCCCCCACCAGTGCAACCCGGGCGTGGAGCATGGGGGGAGGGGCGAGCGGGCGCCCGTGACGGCTCGGGGCCCTCCGTACATTTCACCATGATCATGTAGACGTCAATGGTGCAGATGGGAGGCTGGGGAAGCCTCTCGCCTTTCTCCAGGAGGTCGGGAATCTCTCGGGCCGGGATCCCGTCGTACGGCTTGGCGCCGAAGGTCATCAGCTCCCAGACGGTCACGCCTGGAAAGAGAGGCGGGTCAGGGCCTGGCGGTACCGTAGCTCCAGACGTCACTCTGGTGCGTGAACCTCCGGCGCAGGATGGACTCCAGGGCCATCCACTTGATGGGCACCTGGGGCGGGACACAGAACGGACAGCCTGTTGGATTCCTCCCGCCTTGCCACTGGGTTGAGGCGCAGGGGGAGACGGGACGGGCACGAAGAGCCGCGTCAGACTACGTTACCCATCATGCACCAGTCTCCCCTCTGGGGAGGGATCCCAGTGCATCATGGGAGGAGCCTGGCGGATGGCTATTTCGGATTTCGATTTTGTGCTCAGGAGTTGAGGTGTGGGACCCGCCTCGGCCCCTCCCGCCACGGGAGCGTTCCACAGCCCGGCGTCCAGCGGGACCCGACGGCAGGAGGCCCGTGGCCGGGAGGATTAGCCCTCCCCTCGCCCAGGGGCAGCCGGACTGTTCTGCCCACGCGCTGCTTCTGCAGCTCCGGTGGCGAGAGCCCGGCTGGCAAGGAGGCCGTGGGCGTTAGCCCCCCAGGAGTGCATTACAGTGCTGGCCCCCTCCCACATCAGCGCCCCCCAGGGAGGCCCTGCACTGCCCTGGTGTGCCTCGCTGCCCCCTACTGGGGAGTGGGATGCGGGTGATGCCACGTGGCCAGAGAGCCCCTCCAGGCTCAGCCGGAGCGAGCTGGGGGCCCGGGGCACGCAGAGGGTGGTGCTTGGGAAGAGGGGGAGTTCTGGGAGGGGAGGGTGAAGGAAGGCCCAGCCCCACCTCTGGCCCCTCGTCTCCAGCAGTTGTCTCTCGGCGGGGCCGGCCCCCGGCTCCCCCAGCCTGTTCCCCACCTGCCTGGCCAGCGCTGGCAGCACATGGCTGCTACGTGATACCAGGGAGGGTGGCGTGCGACGTCTCTGGGGGGCTGCGCCCCTCCCCGAAGCTGCTGGCGTCTCCCACTGCTGATCCATGCTCTGCTCCCCCCTCCCCCCCAGCTCACCTTCCCTCCGTCCGCGTGGTACTCCGTTTCATCGATGTCCAGCAGCCGGGCCAGGCCGAAGTCCGTGATTTTCACGTGGTTGGGGCTTTTCACCAGGACGTTGCGAGCAGCCAGGTCCCGGTGCACCAGCCGCACGTCTTCCAGGTAGCTCATACCCTGCGGAGGAGGAGAACTAGCATGGGCACCCGTGAGCCTCAGCCCTGTGGTGGAGCTCTCGGGGACCCAGCGGGTTTGGGAGCCTCCCCCCACATTGAGTGGTGTCTGCACTTAGAGGATCTGAAATCACTTTACAGACTTTAGCCCTGTTTTATAGCTGGGGAAACCGAGGCACCGAGCAGGGAAAGAAACTTGCCTAAGGTCAGCCAGTGAGTCAGTGGCATAGCCAGGGGATAAACCCCTCCTGCTCCAATCGCTAATCAATACGCCCCCTTAATTTATGGCTGGCCATCCTCCCCCCTGCACTCACCCAGGGCTGGCCAAGCTGCTGTGGCGATATTGTGCTTGGAAGCGGGTCCCTTTCCTATTGTTCACATGGCCGCTTTCAGCCTGAGCGCGCCACTTACGGGTTCCAGGCTTCCCAGCCTGGCCCTGGGGTCTTTAACACCCCCAGGGCCCAAGGGGAGCTCAGGGTCCGAACAGCCTGGGAAGCTGAGCCGGCCCTGCTGGAACCCGACCCTGCGAGCTAAGGGGGCTGAGGCCCAATGCCGATCTCCCGAGCGGCACGGGGACCCCCTCGCCCCGCCCCCGGGGCAGCGCCTACCTTTGCGATCTGCACACACCAGTTGAGCAGGTCCTGGGAGCAGAGGCGGGTAGGCACCGACCTCGCTCGCTTGGCAGGGAAAGGGCCCCGTGTGGGAGAGTTCCTCCCTGCTGCCCGCAGCCACTGGTGGGCGCAAACCCAGCGCGCGTCACTGAGACGAGGAGGGACCCGGCGGCTCAGGGACGGCGAGCAAAGCCACGTGCGGCGGCCAGGCCAGGCCGGCTGAGCTCCGTTCTGCCTGCCCCGGGCCGGGCGTGTCACCCCAGCGCCCCCCCACTCACGTCCAGGATCTCCTTGTTGGCCTTGGGCGACGTGTTCTCGCGCAAGACTTTAATGGCCACGGGGATCTTGACGCTCTCGCCGTCGGGGATCCAGATGCCCTGCGGGGAGGGAGGGCAGAGGGGTGAGTGTGTGCGTTGGGGCGGTGCCCGGAATGGGCCTCGCGCAGGCTGGAGGGCTCCAAGCGAGGACGCTGCGATGGGGCCGGAGAGGGCTGAGTCCTTTGGAGTCTCAAAATGCTGCCTTATCCCCCCAGCCACGCTGCCAGCCCCTCCCCCACCAGGCTCCCGGCTGTGCAGTCCCCTCGCGCCACCCGGCCCCTCCTCACCTTGTACACGGTGCCGAAGGCCCCGGAGCCCAACACTTTCACCTTCTTAAGCTCCGTCTCTTTCAGGATCCGCATCTGGGCTTGGTTGGGGAGAGCCCCGCTGGGAGTCAGCTGTTCCAGCAGCTGCGAGGGGTGGGGAGGAGGGCCCCGGGTCAGTGAGGGCGTGAGCTGGGGAACTACCTGCTGCAGCCCCCGGGGACACGGAGTTTCAGGACCTGTGACTAGCCCCTCTACGTGGCACCTTCCGCCTCTTCCCCAGAGCTCCCAGCAGGGCAGCCGCCTCCCCTGCCCTGCAGAGCCCAGGAGTGGAAGGGGAACATCTGGAGGAGATGGGGCTGGAGGGTACGGAGCCTGGACACACTTGCCCTTCTGAAGCACCTGCATGGCCCCAGCCTGGGCACCAGTCAGAACAGGCCTCCAGGTGGTTCAACATCCCCTGTCCGCCTGCAGTAACCCTGGGCTCCAGGCCTGGCTCTCATCCTCCGCCCTCCCTGCCAGTCACTTCTGCTCAGGGCCTCCCTGGCCCAGCGGGGCAGCCCAGGTGCCCTGGGAGGCCTGGCTGCATGTGTGCTTCCGCTCCTGCTGCCACCGCCGCTTGATGCACACGACGATGATCAGGATCAAGACCAGAGCCAGGAGGGCGCCGACCACGCCGGCGATGATGGACGTCACCTGGCTGGGAAGAGAGGGAGGCCGCTGGGTTCGGGATGGGATGGGTGGGGGCAGCCCAGGCTGTGAGCTTGGGTCTCTACAGGGACTGGGGGTGTGATGGGAACCTCGGGGTGCAGCCTGGGACCACGGGACGGCGGTGCCCCTTGAACTCTCGCCAGCCTGGGCTGACTCTGCCCAACGGCATGCCCCTCCCTCCGACGGCGTGAATGCTTCCCGAGTCACCCAGGAACCACAGAGAGGCCCCCACCCGCTCCCAGCATGGAACCCCAGGATACATCAACGGGACTGGGGGTGTGATGGGAACCTCGGGGTGCAGCCTGGGACCACGGGACGGCGGTGCCCCTTGAACTCTCGCCAGCCTGGGCTGACTCTGCCCAACGGCATGCCCCTCCCTCCGACGGCGTGAATGCTTCCCGAGTCACCCAGGAACCACAGAGAGGCCCCCACCCGCTCCCAGCATGGAACCCCAGGATACATCAACGTTTATTACTGGCTTCCCCACTTGGTCAATGGGAAACAGAGATACCAGCCTGGTGCCACCCCCTTGGCGCATTTATCGCACGCTGCACGCTGGGAAAGATAAACAGCGAAGCACGGTTCTTCAGGGGCTTGCTCGTCGATTCCGAGTGGGGGGCGCAGGCATCGGGAGCGTCCCCCCAGCAGCACCCGCGGGGCGG